GAATGTGGCCTAGATTTAGGGTGGGTCTTCCCACCTCAAATGATCAAGAAGAATCTCTTACAGGTGTGCCCAGCTGGTTGGGTTTCAGTGATTTCCAGATGCAGTCAAGTTGACAGCCAAGATTAGCCATCACATGACTACCATAGATGTCCTCTGGCAGAACCCTGTCTTCTGAACTTTAGATTCATGGCAGAGTTTGTTGAGCATGATGCTGCTTAGGCATTACTTATTTTGAGGGAGGGCAGGATAGGGATGGGATTTTTAAAAATAATTTTAAGAATTGAGCATTTAGCCGGGTGGTGGTGGTAGCACATGCCTTTAATCCCAGCACTCAGGAGGCACAGCCAGGTGGATCTCTGTGAGTTTCAGGCCAGACTGGTCTACAGAGAGATCCAGGACAGGCACCAAAACTACACAGAGAAACCCTGTCTCAAAAAAAAAAAAAAAAAAAAAAAACCCCAAAAAAACAAACCAAAAAAAAGCATTTAATAAAACTGGCTTTTATTATGAAGCTACTAAAGTTATGATGTTATATTTTTATTCCAGGAAGATACTGCAGTTTTAAAATCTGAGATGTAGAGTTTATAATCCTGTTTAACATTCTAACTGAGGACTCTGACTGCAGTACTGGGTTGCTGCAGTATTTTAAAGTCATTTGATTACATGGTGTCTGTCTGGCCTCATTCTGTCTGGTTTTGTATATAACAAATTAGGACAAACATAGAGAAACATTGTAAAACAGAAATAAATACAAAATCAGATTGAGACAAATACAAATTAAAAGTCAAGCTTGAGGAAATGTAATAGAAATATGTGAAGAGGGGGCTGGAGAGATGGCTCAGAGGTTAAGAGCACTGGCTGCTCTTCCAGAGGACCCTGGTTCAATTCCCACAACTGTATTTCCAGCTCCAGAGTATCCAACACCTTTATACAGACATACATGCAAGCAAAACACCAGTGCACATAAATAAAAATGGAATCATTAAAAAAAGAAAAATATGTAAAGAGTGAGGACCTACATGGATGACTTAACTAACACGACTTTGAACTTTCTTGACAGCAAACAGAAGATGGAGGTAAGTCAGTGTGCTAATTCTGTTTTACACAAGTTCTCATCTTGTTGCTCAGGCTATCTGAGACTTGCTCTGTAGCCCAAATTGGCCTTGAACTCACAATTCTCCTGCCTCAACCTCCTGAATACTACTATTCCAGGCAGATATCCCAGTTGTAGGGATCTTTCTGGAATAAGCATTCTGACACCAATGAGAATGTAAGAGAAGAAGATGTCACAAGTGGACCAAAGCCAGGACAGCTCTCGAACGGCCTCAGGCCTGGGTCCAGTTTGCATTCTCATTTTACACCGTAAAACCACAAGGTGGCGAGAAGAAGCAATCAAGATTTTACAGAAGCATTCTGGCAGTCAGGTTGTTAGGGGCAACAACCCATTGTTTCAGCCCTTTGTCCAGGTCATTCTGTTCCAGGTAATAAGTGAAGTTATGCTTGGTGAATAGGCAGTACAGGCAGTGCTTTAAGTACATCACTAAGTAAGTCAGTAAATCAGCATTTAATAACTGGTCTGTTCTGCCTTACTCTATTCATCATGCCTAGCTACTTAAGAGAAATGCTTGGCAGGGCTGGCGAGATGGTTTATTAAAGACGACCCTGCATGGTGAAGGAGCTCACCAGCTCTCGTATGTTGTCCTGGACTCCATGTTGCTGTTTCTGTGGAGAAATTAGACTGCCAAACACTATGTTGGGTGTATTATTAGCACTTAGTAAGTCCTTGCATTTTAAAGTTTTTACTGTTTTGAGACAGGGTCTTGCAGTATAACCCTACCAGAACTAGTACTTACCAGAGTGGCCTCTAATTCAAAGCAATCCTCCTGCCTCAGTCTCCTGAGTGCTGGGGTTACAGACTTAAGTAAGTCTTAAAGACATTTTAGTTATGGCCTTCCCTGGGTCTGGTATGATGAGCATTTTGGCTGTTAGCAGTTCTTGTTGCCTTCTGAAGAGGTTATTTTCAGCTTTACAATCTTGGGAATTACAGGTAACTCACTGCTAGTCATCATGCATGTTCAGATCCAGGTTTGCTGGAAGGCCCTCTGTTTCTTCAGAATTGTCATTCATGTTTCATGGGAAGGAGGCCTTGGTTCTAAAACCTTGACTGCTGTCCCAGGTTAGTGAGGTGATTTGCTGGTCTCGGTCTTGGGCATCCCAGCAGCCTGTCAAGGCCCTTCCTTGACACCATTATTTAAGTCTGGTAGTATTCATGTCACTGGAGTACACTTGGACACATTTTTCCTGTTTTCTAATTCCTGTGGTCACTGCTGTACCTACCTGTTTCCCTTAGCGTTGGGAAAGGATGCTAAGGGTTTGTGTAGTTGATTCCTTCCTCATCTATGTGGGGCTTTTCCTCCCTCAGTTTGGGTAAAGTGGCGCACACTACCTATCACTTGGAGATTAGCTGTCACCTACACTAGTCCACTGGGGAAGAGCTCCCCCTAGTGGCAGTCTTTGCACAGTGCTTGGACCCATTTCTGCTTAGGAAGTTTTGGAAGTCACATACATCCCAAAGGATGACATTGTATGTCCTAGACCTGACACTTCCCATGGTTTGAGTGCATTCTGTGGTGCAGAGATAGTGGGAGGCTGAAGGTTGGCTAGGGACTGGATGTTAGTTGGCAAGGTAAAACTGGGATTTACTATTCCCTGACCTATCATGGTATTGGCCTGAAGGAAAAGAGAAGCTAAAGGGTAGGAACTTTTGTTTGGGCATGGTGGCTCACACCTTTAATTCTAGCGCATAGGAGGCAGAGGCCAGCCTATTCTGTACAGAGCTTCAGGCCAGCCAGGACCACAGTACTTCTGTGGCAGTCCTGGTACTGTGGTGGCTTGTGATGCAGGGAGGACCCCCCCCCCCCTTGCCACATGGTAAGATTGCATGAGTGGGTGTGTGAGGGGACTTTGTCCTGCCTCTAACCTATGCAAGGACAAGGCTTGGTAGACAGAGCACTGGCAGAGGGGATTAGGAGGAAGGGCAGGGAGTCCTGGTCATACGCTGGTCTCCCCAAGGACAGAGAATGAATCAGAGGAGCAGGCAGAGCCCAGTGAAGGTCAGCACTGCTCACAGAAGACAGGCATTGTTTATCAGAAGGGAAGCAAGAGAACACCAAACCCTGAAAGGCCTGTGTGCACCCACATGCCCTGTGTGTGCTAGGAGCTGGTTGGAGTATAGTTCATGTGTGGGTGGGCTCAGTGTAAAGAGTGGTAGGGAGGGGCTGGACAGATGGCTCAGTAGCTAAGAGCACTTGCTACCCATGCAGAGGACCTAGGTTCTGTTCCAAGCACCCGTGTGGCGGCTCACAACTATCTGTAACTCCAGTTCTGGGAGGCTCACAATGTCTCTGGCTTCCACAAACACTGCACATGTGGCACACATATATACATGTAGATAAAGCACTCATAAAATATATAAATATAACAAGTGTTAGTTTGTTCTTGAGTCCTTTAACTCTGTGAAGGGCAGGCTCCATTCCCAGAGGCTTAATTCTGGAAAGAAAGAACCATGGAAGGTTGGCCCTCTGTGCAAGGAAGAACCCTCACAGAGTAGAAGGGCACTCCCTGTCTCAAAGACCAGGGAGCAGCTGGGATACACACACTGGAGCGCACTGCAGACTCGGCATACCTACGTGCAGAGCTCTTGCCTTTTCTCCCCTGACACCGGCACTGTCCAAGTGGCACCTCTTACTCTGAACCTGCCAGTAGTGATGGAGCAGAAGCTGTGGGCTAATGAGTCAGTCCCCTTTCCCTGGGGAAGTGAGGCACAGTGTCCCACACAGCACCCGACACAGGGGTATGCCTAACAAATCCCTTCTCTGGAGTGAGGTGGGGCAGCTCCCAGGGAGAGCACAGGGCTGGCTGCAGAGACCTGTCACTTGTCCCTCCCTGTCCCTCAGCTTGTTGGGCCTCCTGCTCCCCACCCCACAGCTGAATGGGCCACATTAATCACTCGGGCAGGTGCTATGGAGAAGGCTCAGCCACCACACCCAGGCAGAGCAGGTGGTATGGTGACATGGTAGAGGTACTTTCTGCTTGCATCCTGTTTGGGTCCATGATGGGTCTGTGTGTAGTAAACAGAGTGTCACTCAAGACTGTGTGCCAGTGGGTAGTATGGGGAGGAGGGCAAACAAAGCTCCAGGTAGCTGGGGTACCTAGAAGGAGGTGGATGTGGAGGAGGAGGTCTCAGTGCAAGTTTTGAGGACAGTGGGTTCCCGTGTGCAGCAGAAGCCACAGGAGGAGGGGTGCTGCAGCTGGCACACAGTCAGGTGTCCTGTGGTGGAGAAGATGGTCAGGTGGAGTGTGAGGGGACTGGAGGGGGAGGGCAGGGGCAGTGCCAGGCCCTGGGTTGGTAGAGTACTGGGTAAACAGAGACGGAGACCTGGGCTCAAATTCCCTTTCTGGAGGAATCTGGACAAGCTGCTTCACCTTCACGATTTTTCTTTCTTTTAAAGATTTTTTGAATTTTGTTTTGCTGGAGATCAAACCCAGAGCCTCACACACACTGCACAGGTGCTCTTCCACTGAGCCCATGGCTGTAAAGTGTGAATAATAGCAGAGTAACTGGGATAGAGTTTGTTGGTGTGTTGAAGTGCCTGGCACATTCCTGACATTTGGTAAAAAGCTCTCTTAGTCATGCAGGTGTAGCATCATAGCACGTGCTATGCTGTGCTGATGGTGTGTAAACTTTGCTGTCTTAGGAAGGGCTTTCCCTATGGCCTGGGCCCATCACCTTCTGAGCAGGGGAGAGGTGGAAAATAGTCTAGTGTAGGCTTTAGTAAGGATGGTGTGGGGTGGGAAGGGATTCACAAATGAACATTTAATGCTTCTCAGTATCTCTTCACACAGCCTAACACTGTATTAGTTACTTTTTATTGCTGTGATAAAATACCATGACCAAAGGCAACTTCTGTAAGAGTTTATTTTGGCCAATGGTTCCACAGGGAGAGTCCATCATGGCAGGAGGGATGGCGGCAGGCAGCCAGAGGGGGCAACTGAGCCATCTCATCTTCAATGACTCACACACAGCAGAGAGTGGGCTGAATACCGGGCAAGTCTATAACCTCAAAGACCATCCCTAGTAATGTACTTCCTCCAGCAAGGCTGAATCTTCTAAAGGTTCCGTAACCTCCCCAAACAGCACCACCAACTGGGGACCAAGGCTATGGGGGACATTTCCATTGAACTCGCCACAGACTTTTTAAAAGGATAATATGTTGAAAATTGTTTAGTTAGTAATTAAGACTTACTTTTGGTTTTTATGTTTGAAATTATTGCCAAATGGACCCATAGTGCTCAATTTTTGTATTTTTGGTGACATCGTGTCTTCAATCCAGAACCTCACACATGCTAGGGAAATGCTCTACAATTGAACTACACTCCCAACCTCAAGTTGTGATTTAAAGGCATCTAACATCTTCATCTTTTGTAAGTTAGGAAAAGAGAACTGAGTGTGAAAAAGTCACCCAAATAACAATGTCATAGTAACACAGTCACTTGTGTATGCTTGGTCACCCCTCCATCAGCAGCTGCCATGGCGCCTCTGAGAACAAACGGTGAATGCAGGCTCCTCTTACTCTGCTGTTAATGTCACTGGAGGGATAGTGGGCAGGGAGCGGGGCAGATGGAGCAAAGAGTCTGAACACCAGAGGATGCCCTGGGCACAGCAACTAGAACATGGCCTCAACTTCACACAGAATGCGGATTAAAACCAACTTGAAAGTTTTTCTCCTGGAATGAGCTGTCACTGTGAAGTTCATGTTGGAGGTGATGCGACCTGGGATTCTGTTTGGAACAGTTCTTTCTTGAGTGTTTATGATGTACTGCATCTCCAGCCTGGCAGCTGCAGGGCTTTTGCTCAGCACTTAAACATTCTCACTGTCTTTGGGTAGCTAGAAAGTGTCTGAGGTCTCCCTGCTGGGCTAGTATAGAGAAAGCATGATGAAGCAGTCTGTGGTATCCATTCTGCAGGAAGGTTAGGATTGTGTCCAGGATCCAGGATCAGTTCATTGCTTTGAAGTCCATGTTCCTTCCACTGTGTTATGACCCTGCCTTGGACCACAAATCCAGTTTCAAGTAGACGAGACCTAACAGTTGCATAGACTTAAAAGCTCAGGAAGTGTGTGGGTTTTACTGTTGACTTTGGGATTTATGTGGTTCTCTGTGGGGAAGGTACCATTGTGCTCACTGTATCCAGAGAAAAGTGAAGTTTGGCTTGGTGAGCTGGAGGCAAAGGATAGGTGGAGGCAGGAGAGTGCATTCAGCCTCCATACCTATCCTGTGCCAGCCTGAGCATGGCACTAAGGATTTAGATGTGGAGATCAACTGTCTCTATCCCAGGAGCATCTGGTTTGGTGCAGAGATGGTTACAATCCAGTGTGGTAGTGGTTGTGATGGCTAGTCTTGGTTGTCAATTTGACCACATCTGGTATCCACTAAAACCCGAGCAGCTGGGCACACCTGTTAGGGGTTTTCTTGATTGAATTATTTGAGCTGGGAAGACCCACACTAGGAAGGGCCACACATTCTGGTTGCAGCCACACAGAAAGGACATGGAGGATGGAAGCTTTCGCTTTTGCTGCTTGTTCTTAATCTCAATGTCAAGTTCATCTGCCCTGTTGCTGAAGCATCCCTTCATTGGTATCAGAACAGACCGAAGACAGCAGTTCTTTAGGAATGCCTCATGACTCCAGCACCAGATTGGGACTGCAGAAACACCCAGGTCTCGTGGACTGAACAACTCTCAGATTCTTGGTCTTTGCATCAGGAGACAGTCATTGTTGGACAAGTTGGACCACAGCCTGTTAACCAGTTCAATAAATCTCCTTTTAATATAGAGATATTCATTCTATCAGTTCTGTTCTTTTAGAGAACTTTGACTAATACAGTGGATTCATAAAAGAACACATCAGGAACTGGGGTGATATTTCATTGTTGGGCAAGCCTGATGATCTTCAATCCCAGAACCTGTGAAAAAGCAAGATGGGGTGGTAAAGTATCTGCGGCAAGAGAGGAGGCAGAGGCAGGAGAATTGGCCAGAAGCTCCCTGACCAGTGTACAGAACAGCAGTAAAACCGACAGGAGAGACTGTGCCTCAAAACAAGGTGGAAGATAGTTGGGCATAGTGGCTCATGCTCTTAATCCCAGCACTCGGGAGGCAGAGGCAGGTGGATCTCTGTGAGTTCTAGGACAGCCAGAGCTACATAGTGAGACCCTGTCTCAGGAAACCAAAACCAAACCAAAACAAAAACAGCAAACAAAAAACAAGGTAGAAGGAGATAACAAATTCTGGAAACCCCCTTGACCTTCATATGTGTGTTATGGTATATGGATGCCCTTTAGTACATAAACACACATAGAAGCAAATCTTTAAAAGATGAACCCAGGTTAGATTTCTTGTGCACAGGACACTGAACTGGCCTCTCAGTGCACTGCCCTCAGATCTTCTCAGGCTGTGCTCTTTGGCAGTTAGATTCTCATTCAGCAACTTGGCCTTTGGGCTTCTCAAGTCTCAGCTTTCTGTCACCCAGTGCTCCAGAGTGAGCTCTAAGAGCGAGCCATCTGAATGAGGGGTTTTACTCACTGTCAACATTGGGATTCATACGGTTCTATGTGGGGAAGGTGTCACGGTGTAACCAGACCACAGTACTCGTCACCATCTGGAGCTGCTCGTCTGTGGGCTTGTTTTGTGATTGTCTCTCCAACTAACCTGCCACATGTCCTGGGACCTTGTCTAACACAATCATTGCTCTACCTCCATGTCTATCATGGATCCAGTACTACCAGGCTACCTTGGTGCCCAAACATCATGGAAACTCATGGAAAGAGTTTCCACCTAAAACCTGAGAGAACGTAAAAATAGATTCTAAAATGGAGCTAAGAGCAGCTTCCTAGTTCGTATGTCTCATGTAGGCCTTGGTACAGAGACGCCTAGGTACAGAAACACTGTGGCATTTAAGCTTGAGCACAGCATGGTGGATACCTGCCACTGTACACAGAGACGTCTCCAAGCTGCACAGCATGCTGCATGGTGGATTTAGCTTTTGCTAGTACAGAGCAAAAACAAAAAGTTTTCTGGGCTACATGCTGCTTGATGGAGGCATAGATCCACTGCTTCCCAGAGCTGGCGGTAAGCATACCTCCACCATGTTGGGAAACTGAATGGGGCAGAGTCAACAGCCAAAGCTGCCTCACAGCTTAGCAGTTTAAAATCTCTCCTGGTCAGAAAAGGATTACAGATACACAGTGAGACAGATTCAGATGGAATAAATCTCTAAACAGTTTACAGTGTGTGTAAAAATGTACCTAGGCTTGGAAGAGAGAGGAAAACGAGTATAGTTCTATAAAGAAATAGTTTTAAAAAATAAAGTTTTTAAAGAGACAATAAAAATGGTATAAAAGAAATAGCCACACAAAGATGGAAAATACATAGCCTGGATTATGTATATTGTGTTTTATTTTTGACTGTTAATGAGCTAATTGCAGGAAGACATTTGATTGTAAAGGCTTCTAAGTTAAATATATATATATATATATATATATATATATATATATATATATATATATATATATATAATTTAAAGGTATCTTGACTTCAAATTTGGATATAAGAATATGTTGCTTTGGAAAGGAGGCTCTGCTTTCATTTCCAAAGGAAGCAAGAGGCTATAGATTTGTTCCAGGTTAAGATAGATCAGATTTGATCAAGTGAGACCTCCTGAACCTTGACAGATGGAATCTATCAACAAGAAGGTTATAGCCAGTCTTCCTAGGACTTGACTATTATCTCGAATTTTCTCAGTATCCCCATAAGATTGCCAGCACTCCTAATCAGCAGGAAGTAGTATGAAAAGCTAAGCTCAAATTCCCAAAATATTGTTTATAAATGTTCATTTTTATTTAAAGGAGGTTGATTATAAATGCAATCTCTTTCTATATAATAGGATAAAAGGGTTGACTATTGAATCTACTTTTAAAGAACAATAACTTGTTTGAAACATTTTACATTGCTATGGATTTTAGTTTATTGATACAAATTTAAATTTAATTTTGTTATACTGTATATATATTTCTACTCTTGTTTAAGGTATTATGTTTATGCAACTCATTTAAGATTGTAATGTATAATTAAGAAATATAGATTAACAATTAGTCATCTTTATTCTATGATAATCAAACTTTTTTTAGAGATTTATTTATTTATTATGTATACAGTGTTCTGCCTGCATGTATACTTGCAGACCAGAAGAGGGCACCAGATTTCATTATAGATGGTTGTGAGCCACCATGTGGTTGCTGGGAATTGAACTCAGGACCTCTGGAAGAATAGCCAGTGCCCTTAACTGCTGAGCCATCTCTCCGGTCCCAATAATCAAACTTAGAGTCATGTTAGTTAAGTTTTTTTAGGTATACATAGATATATTTCAATTAGGTAGGTAATCTTCAAACATTTCAAAGACCTTCAAAATATGGCATTTAAAATGTTTTAAAGACTTAGACTTTTCTGGACAGTGAGACATGTCTGCTCCTGGCAGCACCAACTTACTTCAAAGAGGAAGATGGCATCAAAGACACTTCATGTGGAGTTTGTCTTCTTCTTGGCAAAACTGGCCATTTGGGCAAGAAACTGCTCGTGCCTGGACTGCTTGACAGTATGTTGTATAGACTGGACATGCAGGACCCATAGGAAAATGACCACTGAACTTTGTCTAAACAGGGTGAGATGGTCCTTCAGTTTCCTGCTTCACAGAAGATACTGCCAGACATTCTGCAGGACACAGAGGAAAGTGACTGATGAACTTTGCCAATAAGTGAGACAATCCTTCAAATTTCCTGCTTCACAAAAAAGTCTGCCAGAGACTCTAGGCCAGTAGGCTGAAGAAGCCAATGTTGCAGAGGAACTTTGGGTGACTGTCCAGGCTGCCAGATGTTCCTGTCATTTCTAGAATTTTGGAAGATGCTTGCAATGTACTTCCTGTTTACTTAGGTAATATATCCTTCTAGGGTCTTTGATGTAGTTGAAGACTAGATAGTTATAAATTATTGTTTTCCTTAATTATGATAAAAGATAAATTAAATATACAACTTTAGACTCACAAATACAGGATAGATGATAGAATATTTTCTTTAATTTTACCAAATAAAAATAGACTAGATATTGTAACTGTAATTCTTGCTTGATAACTGTTTTGTTATATATAATTTTACTATGTTAAAGTTAAAACTTTTCCTTTTTGATTAGACAGAAAAGGGGAAGTGCTGGGGGATGTCTTTCTGTATGCTGTGAATATGTGTTGCTCTCATTGGTTCATAAATAAAGCTGTTTGACCAATGGTGAGACAGAATGAGGTTAGGCGGTACATTCAAACTGAAGATGGAGATGAAGAAGGGTGGAGTCAGGAGAAATGCCAGCTGCCACCCAAGGAGCAACTAGATGCCATCAGACTGGTAATGCCATGGCCATATGGCAACATATAGATTAATAGAAATGAATTAAGATGTCAGAGCTAGTTAGCAAGAAGCCTCAGTCATAGGACATACAGATTGTAATTAATATAAGCCTCTGTGTGTTTACTTGGGACTGAGTGACTGTGGTACCAGACAGGACACAGGAAAACTTCTGTCTACAGAGTACAGAAATATATGGGAAAGGGGTTACTGATTTGAATAGAATGCCAAATAAGTGCAGAGACCCTAGATAAACACTAGAAACATCTGATGTTTAGATCTCACCTCAGACCTCACCACAGCTCCCTAGGGAATTCTAATACCAGTTACATGGGAACCCTGCCTTCAACATGTTTGTTTTCTCAGCACAGATGGGTGTAGCAGAAATCTTAAAAAGTTCTTATTAATAAGAACAAATCAGGGGCCAGTTATTGGGGTGAATGCTGGAAGATCAGAGAAGCACAACAAGCCACAGCTTCTTCACCTCGACAGTTCCTCAGCTGATCCTGTTTCCTCAGACTGGAAGCTTCTGTGTTCTCATCCCAATGACTCTCAACTGAACTGCTGCTTGAAAGCCTGAAGCTTAACCAGCTAAAAACTTCTAGTTTCTGGTCCTCACGCCTTATATATCTTTCTGCTTTCTGCCTCACTCCCTGGGATTAGAGGCTCACTTTCTGGGATTAAAGGTGTGAGTCACCATGCCTGGCTGTTTCCAATGTGACCTTGAACTCACAGAGATCCAGAGGGATTTCTGCCTCTGGAATACTAGGATTAAAGGCATGTGCTACCACTGCCTATCCTCTATGTTTAATATTGTGGCTGTCCTGTTCTCTGACCCCAGATAAGTTTATTAGCATGCATAATATTTTGGGGAACACAATACCACCACAGACAGGAGTAATGCCTGTGCATGGAGAGAGAAGACTTCCTGGGGAGGCATTGTGGTGTGTGCTAGCTAGATGAGAGGTTTGAGCAAGAGGAGCCAACCTGTAGTGGGTAGCCATTCCAGCTTTGGTCTGGAAGTTCCAACCCCCATTGAGGCTTCGGTAACAATCACGCCTACAAGGCGGGGCCAAGGGAGGGCTCTGAAGACCCGAGATCCGGATGCTCGGCTCTCTCTTGTTTCCTGGACCCTGGACACTAGAGGTAGACGACTGGAGTCAGGGCCTGCTGCACAAGGTGGTATTCATGCTTGTCACTGTTGTTATCGGGGTCAAGAATCTGTGGTTAGATAAGCCGTAGGCTACTATATTCGTTTGCTAACTGGATGTAGTATTACACTGATCTCTTATTGTAATCCCATAGATTAGTGCATATCTCAGCCTTCTTCAGGGAAGCTTCTTTTAGCAGTAGATGGTGATTCACAGAGACAACTGATCAGCAGGCAGAGAATAAGGAGCTGCAGAGTGCTCAGCCTTAAATGGGACATCTGTATCACAGCCCCTCCTCTCAAGGCTCAGGGATTTTAGTGGAAGAGGAGGCAGAAAGTTATAGATAGGATAGGATATAATGGTAGATTCAATAATCTATCATATTATATCATACCCTATCATATCTGTATTTAACATCCGGCATCCAACTTTTGGGACACAAATTCATGAAAAAGCCGCTGGGCTGTGGCTTTGTAGCCACTGGCTCAGGCTGGAGCTACATAAGACTGGAGTCACTTACCCCACTGGCTAGATTTTCCTTTTCTTCCTCAAGCCCTCTGAGGGAGTCTGGGATTTTTTTTCTGTTGAAGCAGCAGCAGACTCCACAGGCTTTTGGACTCCAAAAACCGCAGGAGTTAGCTGCTTTTGCATATTCCCCCATGCAGATGGCTGGCTCTTTGGCTTCTTCTCTCCAAGTGGGTTGTGGGCTCTCCCTGGACCCCCTCCTTGGGCTGCTACCACACTAGGTAGCTGCCTTGAAAACTGCTCCGGCTTCTACTGTTCTATGCAGAGCAGTGAGCCTCACATCTGAATCATCATCATTGGTAGATTTGGTGAGACAATTGGGAATTCTTAAAGGGAGAAATTAGTTAAAAAAGGAAGTTTTTTCCCCACATTAAAAAATGCAAAACACTATTATGATGGAGAGAGTTAGGTCTCTGTATGATTACACAATGCATGGTTTGAAAATGGAACAATTAGATGAGAGGATAATTGATTTAGATGGGGTTTTTGTAATGTCAATTATAAACATTATCTGTCTTACCACTTTTGTTTTATCATTAAAAAAGTTGGTTGATATGAATGCCAAGATAAAAGTTTTAGAAAAACTTATTAAAACAGATCATAGAGATATTCAGACCCAGACAGAGGAACTTAAAAGGAGAACCAGTCTCAGCATTGCATTATAAAGTTACAGAGAAACAGCCTAAGGTTTTCAAAAAGCCAACCTTAATTTATCCAGTAACCTTACTGCCAAATGATAGATATCTTTGAGGCTATGTAGGAGCTGAAAGGACTCCTGTGGAAATGTTCGATTTAAGGAGATTCAAGGAAATGATAGTCTCACATAGCGTGCATTCACTTTTTGTGAAGCAGATGTTAAAATTGTAGTCAACTTGTAATAGAATTATCCCTCAAGACTGGAGAGATTTGGTTATAGCAGTTTTGGAGGCTGGTCCTCAATTACAATGGAGGACCTGGTGGAAAGATGAGGCTAAGACCATTGAACAACAAAGTAGGGCTAGAGGTTTGGAAATCTCCCAAAACCAACTTCTTGGAGAGGGAGATTATGTTAATGTAGAAAGGCAATCTTTATGTGATGATCACACCCTGGCTTTATGCTGCACATCAGCCTTGTGGGACAGAATTGAAGAAGTAAGAAAGAAAATTGAGTCATTTACTGAAGTTATACAAGGCCTCAAAGAAACCTTCCCTGATTTCTTACAGAGACTAACTTCAGTAGTAAATAGAATGGTACCAAATTCAGAAGCTAGGCAAATGATAATTGAATCTCTGGCTTTTGAAAATGCTAATACACAATGCGAAAGGATAATTAGGCCATTAAAGACAAGATCAGCACCCTTGGAGGAATGGATCTGAGATATAATCAATATTGAATCTCATAACCATGATGATGCTAGGATAGGAGAGGTGATTTTCAAAGGTTTGAAGAAAAATCGAAATGCTAAATGTTCCAATTGCTGTAAACAAGGTCACCTAAAAAGGGACTGTAAACAGGGCATTCCTAGAAATAATGTTTTTGCTAAGAATAATCCCAACAGAATGTCCCTTTCTTCTGGATTATGCAGAAGGTATGGTGAACGCAGACATTGTACTAATGAATATAGATCAACAAGGGACAGACAAGGTAACCCTTTGCCATCAGAAAATGCCTTGGGGTGGCCTCTATCAGGCCCCTATGTCAAATTTGGTTCAGTCATTTCCTGTCATCGTGAAGGAAACTTCTTCCCACAGCAATTAAAGAACCTAATGCCTATTTAAAAAAAACCATACTGCTCTGCATCATAGAACAGCTATAGAAGAGAGAATAAAAAATTTTGGAGAAACTATAAATCAAAATTGGTAAAGATTAGGTTTGGAACCTTCCCAAAGTTAGGGTTGGGGCAGGGTTTTGTTTTTGTCATTTCAAGAAAATGAAAACAACCGTCTTGAGGAATTTAAAGACCTTTGGACAAATAAGCATTCAAAGAAGAAGGAAGAACTACCCCCCAAAAAATTACTAAGAAAAGGAATAATCTGATCTAATGCAGTCTCTGAATTCTCCAAAAAGATGATGGGACCCTCACAATGATGATACCACATAGAATATGATAATACCACTAAGGTGACAAATACTACCTAAAAATTGGCTTTGGACTACAAACTTCTTAGGACAATTTCAAGGTGGCTAGCTGAGATGATGCAGCCTCACAGACTACTCTAGCCAGAACTTGAGACAAGTCCTGCACTTTCCCATTATGCAGAGACTGGACAACAAATGATACAACTACCTCTCCCAGGACTTGACAATTAACCCAAAATTTTCTATTTAGGATCGCCTAAAGATGTCATTGCCTCCAGACAGCAGAAAGTAAATTAAAGAACATGACACCCACATTTCCAAGAGGTGGAATGGGCGGTTTTTAGTTGTTCAATAGATTATGGATATTTGTTATTATTTAGGGTGTTGATTACAAGTCATTATTGGTAATGATTAAAAAAAGCTGAACCCAAGCTGGGCAGTGGTGGCGCACGCCTTTAATCCCAGCACTCGGGAGGCAGAGCCAGGCGGATCTCTGTGAGTTCGAGGCCAGCCTGGGCTACAGAGTGAGTTCCAGGAAAGGCGCAAAGCTACACAGAGAAACCCTGTCTCGAAAAACCAAAAAAAAAAAAAAAAAAAAAAAAAAAAAAAAAAGCTGAACCCAGGAGTTTAGATTCCAAGTTCTTGTTTTGAAAAGAAAAAAGGGAGATATAGATATGATAGGATATAAGGGTAGATTATTGAATCGACTCTGAAAAGAAATAGTGGTGATACAGAAATAGGATAAAAAGCTAGATTATTGAATCTACTTTTTTTTTTTTTTTTTTGGTTTTTCGAGACAGGGTTTCTCTGTGTAGCTTTGCGCCTTTCCTGGGACTCACTTGGTAGCCCAGGCTGGCCTCGAACTCACAGAGATCCGCCTGGCTCTGCCTCCCGAGTGCTGGGATTAAAGGCGTGCGCCACCACTGCCCGGCTGAATCTACTTTTAAATCAAAAAAGCAACTACTAGTTTTAAATATTTTACATTGA